TAGTAATAATAATAATAATAGTAATAAAATGAAATAACAAGTGTTTGAGTATTCACTGATAAAATAAAAATAAATTCTTTTTTACATAAAACTTGGACGCTATTGTTTCGTTTGTTGAGCATAATTATAATTTTTCTGGGTGTTACTGTTTTTTGATAAACTTTGGGAATTCCCATATTTTTTAAAAATAAACAGATGTTTTTCAGTAAAATTGAAAGCATACTGGTACAAATTAATGTTGTTTGATGTTTATACAATTTTAATTTAGTACACAAGTGTGTATTGTCTGACATAAAAGTATGCAAAACAACTCATCAGAATCCAAGCATGAAATTAGAAATAAAAAGAAATATAAAGTTAAAAAAATTTTAAAAAACATCTTGGACGATTTTCATCGTCATTGTCATCATTATCACCACCGACATCTTCATGAGCTGGAGAAAAATGGTGTTGTAAAAGAATGGAAAATTTTCATGAAAAAAAAAAAAAAAATAGCTGTATATGTATATCTGGAGACAGTTTTCTTGTAAAAGTGCAAATGTCATAACGGCTGGTGGAAACAAACTGCTTCTTTACGAAAACGTTAATACACTAGGCGTGTGATCGATATATTTTTCAGAATTGACAGATGCCACAGTGATTGTAAATAGTATTGTGTTGTTCGTGGGAGTCTTTAAGTGACGAAAAAGCATCATGGCTAATTTTTCTCATTGATAACTAATTTTTTAAATGTTAGTAGTATGCATTAGATTTTATGAAAAAAAAAAGAAAAATGTTCAAATGAACCGCAGAAAAATTAACATTTTTTTTTTCGCCACGTAATGCTGGTAATAATGTAGTGTCTAAGTCATGTCTACTTGATTTATATCTAACGACTAATCGCATAAATGTACATGAAATTCATGATTAGCGAGAGACAAACTTAACGTATAATATATTGCTATTCCGGATATTCTACTTTTTCCTATAATTTTGCAACAAACAACAAAATAAAAAGTGCGCATACAATGATTGTTTATTGTAGGTGAAATATGTTTTTTGCTCGGACCATCGCTGAATTATGAATGCATATAATGATTGAAAATAATAAGAAAAATTACTATAACTTGAAAGAATAGTGTGTTCATGATAATGAGTGGAAAAAAAAAACTTTAAATAATGGAGAAACTAAAAAACAAAATTTGTGTGAACATAAAAGTCGTAATGATTTAATATAGGCAGATAAATGTGGCATTCTCATGTCAATAAAATGCACAGCTAAGGTAACTAAGGTCTAAAGGGCAACGACAACAACTTCATGCCGCAGGGCTTAATATAAATGTAGTAGATTAGTGGCTGTTGCAAAAATGGAAAAAAAATAAATAAAAAAATAAAAAAAGATATTTCCATTGAATGAAAATTAAGGAAAGGAAGACACATTGCTCTTCTCGATTTCGTTGAAGATCACTTGTTGTTTAGTCTTGTGGTGTTAAAAAAATCTGCTCTGCTGCAAACGCTGTTCTTCTCGTATACAGGCAAGAACAAAATCTGTTCGTTGCCTTTTTTTCTTATTACACAGGAACATCAACAGATTTCACAGTTTTACATTTTTTAATTTTTATTAACACAAATCCATGCGAGGCGAAGCTTTCTGGCAAACGTCGAGATAACTCGCTCTTAACAGAATGTACATGTAATGGCTGTTACATGTTTCGAAAAAGGCCTACTTTAGTTTTAAATCCTTTTTTTTTTTTTTTTTTTTTTNTCATTGAATGCTTGACAGAACTAGTATATTTTTAACGGTTCAATTTTTTAAAACTTTTTTTATCCCAAGTGTTAATCGAAACACTACCTGCATATTGGAAGTAATTACGAAAAATGAGAGTTAATTTTTTTCAATTAAAAAATTAAACACCGATTTTATAATTATTACGTCTAGTGTGATTCTAATTGTTGAAACTGATATCAAACAATTTTTCACAGTCTTGTTATAATTAAGTGTAAACTATTTCGATAAATTAACAATGAATTTTCAATTTTGGCAAAAATCATTGAAAGTATGGATAATTTTCAATAATGATAATTATCGAAAAACACGTAAGTAGAGATGTAATCGCCAAAAGTTTCAATTTTTTTTTTTTTTTTTTTTTTTAATGTTTTTCGTTTTCGAGAAAAATGGAACGATGCGATATTTCTATCAAACACTAATTAATAAACTAATTTAGCTATTAAGTATACATGTATAAAATTTGTTCTTTCATTGAATGCTTGACAGAACTAGTATATTTTTAACGGTTCAATTTTTTAAAACTTTTTTTATCCCAAGTGTTAATCGAAACACTACCTGCATATTGGAAGTAATTACGAAAAATGAGAGTTAATTTTTTTCAATTAAAAAATTAAACACCGATTTTATAATTATTACGTCTAGTGTGATTCTAATTGTTGAAACTGATATCAAACAATTTTTCACAGTCTTGTTATAATTAAGTGTAAACTATTTCGATAAATTAACAATGAATTTTCAATTTTGGCAAAAATCATTGAAAGTATGGATAATTTTCAATAATGATAATTATCGAAAAACACGTAAGTAGAGATGTAATCGCCAAAAGTTTCAATTTTTTTTTTTTTTTTTTTTTTGTTTCTTTCCACGTATCGACGCGAAAAAAAAAATTAAAACAGACCATACCTTCCACGTTGCAGCGTTGCGCCGGAAATAGCAGAATGTATTTTGGAACCAGTTGTATATCTCGTTAAGCGTCAATTGCTTGTCCGGAGATTCGATGATGGACTGTAAAAAAATACGAGTTAATAATGCTTTTCTTGTCTAAAATTTAAATTCAAGGTCTCGATCTTGAAAGAACCGAAGGGATAGATTTTTACGTGCTCCGAAATTAGACGTCAAGTGTACCCATTTTTAAATATCAGGTTTACAAAGAATTACATAACTATTATACTTTTACAGACCTGTAAAAATATATTGATTATACAATTATCGTGTTTAGAAAATATTTTTTAATGCGATGCAAAAAATCATGCAATTTTAAATATCGACGAAAATCAATGTCCAGAGAGTATTCTTTCAAAAAATAAGTAAACGAAAGAAAAATAAAGCTCAAAGTGAATGTCAATATTTCAAAAGAAAGTAAGAATCGTGGCGGAAAAATATAAAACATTAAAATTGACGCTGTGTACGCGTGTGGGGACAAGGTCATGTTCAAATTACCTGGCGTATTAATGATGCATACGTGAACGGCGGTCTAACGTCTGCGTTTTTGTAGAATTCCCTATTTCGCTGAATCTCTGCAAAAAATACGTGGTTTTATATTTTATCATTTATGCGCGGAAAAGAGGCCGCTATGAGGCAGAAACACGTAATAAAATATTTGATGGTACAACCTCTCGTGATTGCATTTTTGGAGGGTAATAAGTTATTAATAATGAAGAAAAAAAGAAATTGCTTGACAAATCAAAGAATGTAATTGATCGAACTTTGTGATGTTTTACCATTTAACATCTACAAAATTACAACCTGTACTAATGAAATTCTCCACAAGTGTTTTGGCTTTAGGCTGTTTCATTAATTGATATAATTTTATTTTAAAATATAATAATCAAACACGAAAATCGATCAAGCACATTCCGAAATGAATATAAAGATGGAGATAAATTTATGAGGCAGATTAGTTTAGTGAAAAAGGAAGAAAGAAAAAAAAGAGCGAAACTAGCTGCGTAGTGCTTACAAATGAAATACCCTTGAATAAAATGTCAACCCAAGCAATAAATTCACGAACATGTGGTTTAGAAATAAAAAATGACAAACTGCACCACATGGAAATATATTGTACAGATTATGTGTATTTGTTTTTTATTCAAGACTATTAACGTTTTTCTATTTTTCGTATATGTGTTTAACCCACATTACGACGTTAATGTGCCCGAATTTTCATTCATGCTGAGTAAACGTAACATCATATTGGTGTTTGCGTCGTTTTATTTGATAATACTTGTGTACGTTATTTAATATGTATCGCTTTCAATCGACTGATTATCTCAGTTGTAATTCAAACTTGAACCATCAAGTAAATAATCAAACAAAAATTAACATGCCACATGCACGTGAGCTAACAGCATTGAAATAACGATTCAAGCAAACTTGAGGTACAATACTTTGTGCTTGGGGGAAAAAAAGGTGATTATTGTAATGATAAAAAAAAAAAAAAAAAAACAACTTAATTTGACCCACAGTGCGAGAGTGTGTACATCAATGAATCATGCAACTTGATTGTGCGCGAGCAAAATGATAAAAAAAAAAAAAAAAAAACAACTTAAAAGTCATGCAATTGTTAATAATTTAAAAAGACTTGAGTCTTTGGAAGAAAAAAAAGCTACAGGCGTGGATAACAAAAGAAAATGGTAAAGGACACCTATGTGGCCAGAGACAGAGAAAGAAATGATTGACAATACCTTGTTGGACGTCTAGGCCAGCGCGCTCCAGCATGTAGGGCAGCCCTACACGGTGGTGGAGGCGAGCAGCACAAAGAAACGAAGAAATGAGAGACACACGACTTTTAGCTGGCACTCGTGCCATTTTTTTTTTTTTTCATTTTTTTCATTATTTTCATTATTTTCCTTTCGCTTCGACCTCTTTTTCCGTATCCGAGTAAACTCAAAGCTTGGGAAGAAAATGCAAAAGCGATAGGAAATTCAGTCCAAGCGGACTGCAAGGCTATCGAGGTCCATGCAAGGATCAACTGTCGATGAGTTTAGAAAGCGGCGGCACAACAATTGGGGAAGGCTGCCTCTTTCCTTCCCCTTCCAAAATACATTCTGCTATTTACGACGCAGCGGAACAACGTGGAAGGTACAATCTGGTGCGGTTATTTTTGCGTTATTTTAGCGTTTTGTAACGAGCTTTCTGTTGTTGTTGTTGTTGTTGTTTCTTTTGTTCATCATGAAAATTTGACTTTACACATTGAAAAACTCGATGATTCGTGAAAATCACCTGTCCCAATTGGTTTTGAGTAGTCGTCAACAAAAGGCTTGCCGAAAAAACAGTAAAATGACAAAAATATTGTTTGGCCATCGCCTAAAAACATCAACAGCTTATCAGATGCACGACCAAAATTGAGTTGCAGTCCCGACCACTTTTTTTCCAGAGAAAACGCTATGCGTTTTAATTTTATCGCTTACGAGAGATACTAAACATTGTTTTTTAATTCTTTCTTTTCTTTTTTATCTGAATTTGTCTCGCTTGGATCATTGTATATGCACTGAACTGCGCCAACAAGGTGTCCGTGAACCCTCGAGAAATCAAAAGAGCGTGAACTCGAAAATTACTCGAAAATGCAAGAAAAGTCGTGAATGTTAGTGCACGGTTGTGATGTTATTGCCACCCGTTTGGAAATAGTAGTTGCACAAACCACACGCAAAAATACACAAACAAGATGAAAGATCTAGAGAAAAAAAAAAAAAAGAGAGAGAGAGAGGACCGTAAAGTGCATTCTTGGTTATGAAGTTGTAGGGGAAGAAAAAATCTTTCCTCGTTTTTTTCGTCTGTCTCTTTGAGTCGTTGAAACTGCTTTTTTTTTCTAGTTACATTTGCAAAAAATATTGTCACGTGAGGTTTAACAGCTTTTCCGTGAGTGGAAAAAAAAAAAAAAAGAAAAAGACTATAGAATCGTCAATGAATAAGCGTTTTAATGCATTTTCAAGGACAAGAGACAGTAGGACAGAGAGTTTCTTCGCTTGAAAAAAAAAAACGGATGAATGGATGTTTTTTTGATTTGTTCTCATTGAAAACTCAAATTACCTTCATTAATATCTAATCCAGATCTATCGACGGATACTCTGCGCCTTACAGTGCCCTCGTCATACAGTCCTACGAATAGCATTTTTATCGTTCGTCATCAAATTTTTCTTTGCTTTGTTTTCAGTTGCCTTGGCTTTTCTTTTTTTTTTTTTTTTTTTTTTTTTTTTTTTTTTTTTTTTTTTTTTTTTTTTTTTTTTNNNCTCGCTGTTTCTTTCTTTTTTTTTTTTTTTTTTTTTATTCTTTTTTTTTTTTTTTAACTTTGTTTTGGCTCAATGTCAGTGTTTGATTAAACATTTTTCTTTCCACAAATTCTGATAGAAAAGATAACTTATCTATCTACTTGCGCCGAAACTCAATTGGAACCTTTTATTCGTACCTAATCGATGGTAAACACGAAAAATTACAACGAACGGTAATCGCGCGTCCCTCAAAAAGCTAGAAAATAAATATTAACGAACAAGCAAACGCCGTTGGGAAAACCCCGCGAGGATAGACGTATTACGTATTTTTTTTTTTTTTTTTTTTTCTTTTTCTTCCAAAACTTGCACGCGCTGTTACATAATTTTCACGCGATTACCAAGAATATGCATAATTTTACCATTACAACGCCGAAGATTGGAAAAATGTACACACGCGCACACTTTTAAACTCTATATTTAAAGTAAGAACCACACGATTCGCCAAAAACGTACATTTTTCCAACCAAAAAAAGAAGAAAAAAAAAAAAAAACCCATCCACGTCATCGTTCGATTATCCAAAAAAAAAAAAAAAAAAAAAAAAAAAAAAAAAGAGCCACGATGACAGCGAACGACGACGTGATAAAAAAGTAAATTATCATGATTATGATCACGAGAGCAAAGAAGAGCTCACCTCCTGCGAGCGACAAGCTCGACTTGTCGCTGATCCTCCTGCGAATGGGCCCAGCCAAGTTGGGCATGCTCGGCATGCTGGGCAGACCACCGGGCATGTTGGGCATGGGGGGCATGCCTGGCATACTTGCGATGCCCGTCAGCCCGGGTGGCATACCCGGACCCGAGGCTGGGGGCAATTGGCCACCCGCCGGCGACCTCACCGACGAAACGAGGCTCGATATCGAGACTGGCGAGACTTGCGACATACCCCCAAAGTTTGGCGGCGGCTGGCCCATCAAACCCGCGGACAAGCTCATCTTCGGCATACTCGGCGTGTTCTGCAATTACACAAGGGAGGATGTATTTTTTCTTTCATTTTCTCCCAAGTGCAGGTTGGTTGGCCGTCATAGGAGGCTTACCGATGACTCGGAGGATTTGGGGAGCTCAGGTGAGGCCATCTGCTTGGCCATGTGCAGGTGGTGCATCATCGCCGCGAGCCTGTCGCGCTCCTTCTGCAACTGGATCTCCAGTTGGGAGACCACCTGCATCTGGACGCGCGCCTGCGCCGTTGATCTGTCGTCGAGCGTGTGTTCCGTGTTCAGGTGTCTGCAAGCACGAGTTTTGCGCGGGGCACTTTTAACAATTTTTTATTGTTTGTTACTGCAAGAGCTCGAATAGTGACCGGTGGGGGGGAGGAGTCCAAATTATTTTCATAATCCCCTTTTCTTCCCTTTTGGGCGGGTGCGCGCGGAGCAGATTGGGGCTAAGGAGAAGAAGATTGGAAAGGAGACCGAAAGAGAGAGAGAGAGTTCGCGCGAGCGCAGTGAATATTAATGGGACAAAGGTAATTAGTTACGCGAGGCTCCCCCCATCCTGCGTTTCTTATTCCTCGGTCTCCTTTTTATTCCAAGCGAGAGACGCCCGCTGATTACTACCCTTCTGTAATGGTGTTGGAGGGGCATCAAAGGCACCGCGAAATTCCCATCGGACGCGCTCGATTGACTGGAACCCCCCTCCCCCCCACTTTGTTTGTTGCTTATGGATGGCCATTGTAACAACTTACTTGAGGAACGCCTGGTACTCGTCGCACACGGCCTCGCAGCCGGGCCACTTGCACACCCCGTGCCCGTAAAGCTGGTGCTGGAGCTTCTCGTTGCTCGCGTCGAGCGGCTTGTCGTCCATCTGTTGCGCCGTGCCGTTCAGCTCGGAGCGCCCACGGCTCGACACTAACGAGTTAAGAAGGCCTGCGTTGACCGATTTTTGGTTTGATTTTTTTTTTTTTTTTTTTTTTTAAAGAAACGAAAAATGCGGAGGAAAACAAAGAAACAAACAAACACAATCGTACTCGTTAATGTTGTGGAAAGGTAAGCGAAATAAACAACAACAATAAATCAATAAATAATATCATTGGCCATTGGGATTATGTAATAATACCGTTTAGACCGGAAGTGGATTTCTGGAGGCTCGAGTTGGCGTGCGGCTCCGAGTTCTCGGTCGGCTCCGTCTTCCAGCCCGTCATCGGCTCCGAGGCTTGCAGACCTTCAAATTAAATTTTTTGTTTGTTTTTTGTTTTTTGTTTTTTTTTTTTTTCGCTATCACGCGCAGGCACCGTATATATACAATGTTAGGTAAAGAACGAACCCGCCGAGTGGTTGTGTCCCTGGAGGCCCAAGCCCTGCTGTAGGAGGTACTGCCTCTGGGTGATCTGGAGCTGCTGTATGAGCTGTTGTTGCTGCAGGGCGAGCTGCTGCAGGGTGGCCGAGGCCTTTTTCTTGTCGGGCGCCTGCAGTAGGTGGGTCTGCTGTATGAGGTTCAGCTGGAGGCGCTCCTGGAGCTGCTGCATCGTTTGCTCGAGCTGCTTGCGCCCGAGCTCGGCCAACTGGTGCTGGTGCTGTTGGTCACGGTGGGCGCGCATTGCGATCAGCGACGTTGTTGTCGTGGGACGGATATTGTTGGGACGGGGCAGAGGCGGCGGGGGACTTACGTTTTTCAACGACGAGAAGTAACCAAAGTGCTCCTGGCTCGACTGGTGCTCGGACGACGGGTCCTGCAACCGACACGGAATTACTACATCATACAGGGAAAAACACGTACAATCACAACACAACAATTTACCTGATGGTGATGCTGTTGTTGTTGTTGCTGTTGTTGCTGCTGTTGTTGCTGTTGTTGTTGGACGTAGATCGAGTGCTGCTGCATGAGGGACTGTAGCTGGGTTGGGTTGAGTATGTGCTGCTGTAATATCTGCTGCATCTGGTGTAGGCCGCCCACCGCTGGGTTGAGCATCATCTGGGCGGCGGTGGTCTGCGAGGTGGGCGGCAGGCCCTGCGACGGATCGAGGGGTGAGGCCCGCTGCGGGCCCTGGGGGCTCGGCTGGGGCCCGGGCGCCCCGGAGCTCGGCTGCTGCGACTGCTGAGTTATGATCGGCTGCTTTTGCTGGGTCATGGGTGCTGCGGCTGATACCGAGGGTACTATTGCTCCCGCTCCTGTGACTGCACCAACCACCGAACCTCCCGTCACTGGGCTGTTTTGCTGCTGCTGATGAAAATGGTGGTGGTGGTGGTGGTGGACCGAGCTCGGGCTGAGCTTCCCATTGCTTTGGTACTCGATGCTGACGTCCGGCTGTTCCGGGTTGACACTGTTCTCCGGGCCGCTCGAGTTTCCACTGCTGTCGCGACAACGGCTCGGACGGGACTCGCACTGCTGCTTCAGAGCCGCGTATATACTGCTCGCCTGAAATACAAAGGGCACCTCGTATCGTTTAACGCTCGCAGACTCGCGATCACTTGCAATTATATATATATATAGTACTCCTCGTGTCGCGCTTGTCCCGCGGGAAATGTAATGGGAAAACAGGTAGACGCCGTCTCCCGGATGCCGATTGAAAAATTGAGGGGGGGGGGCACAAGGCAGTCCTGACTAAACACTGATAACTCCGAGCCCAAAGGGCGATATATACTTCTTTGCGCGTCGCGAACACGCCTAATTGTACGCAAATAAGATTAGCCCGAGACACCCCTGCCTTGTTCTCCTCCGCGCCCGTGCATGTACTCGAAAATAAAAAAAATACACCCACACACGCGCGTGTCAATTTACAAAATATATATCAAGTGCACGGACCAGATACATATACATGTATATATCGCACCCTTTGACGAGCGGCAAAACTCGCCGAGTTATCTCCTAGCGCTGCGCGCTCGCTACTGTTGATCTTATCCGATGGCATTCGGGGCCCTGTTTTGTCTTGGAGAGGCAGTGCTCGCGCGCGGGTATATCCGCACATCCGCCGTGTGTTTACACACGAGGAGCGCCAACTCGGTTTTATTAAACTTTGCCGTGGCGCCGAATTTATATTTGCCCACCGCGTCTTTCCAGCGCCGCGGGTGGATCATTTAATTTCCTCCCCCCCCCTTCGCGTTGCTCCCTCCCCCGCGCGAATCGAAAGCTGCTCTTAGCGATATTGCATCCAATGGGGGGAGGGGACTTTCCTTTCTTTCTTTTTTGTTTTTGAAAAGTAAAAGCAAATAAACAAAGTCGAAGCAAAAGTAACCCGCGGCTCGATGGAGCGCGAGAGTCGTGGAAAAAAGCCCACAGAGACACGTATAAGGTGGAGCGTAGGGGGGGGGGTGGGGGGTGTCCCGAAGATTTTCTAATATGCAAGAGGTTATGAAGTCGGTGCTCATTCGGCGTGAGAGGGAAAAAAGGTCGGGCCGCCGTCTCCGGGCTTCAAATAAAAGGCCACACACACACACACTGCGCCAAAGGACGACGACGGAGAGGATCGCCCGAAATCTGAACAGCCAACAAGACTAGGGGGGGCTCTTTATTTAACCTTTTGGACCTCGGGAGGGGGAGACTCCTCGGAGACTCGTCGCTTCTTCTTGCCTCGTCTTCCGCGGAGACGATGGTCCTCGAGGGTTTCGCGATGAAGTGTGTGTGCTTCCTCCTCTTTGCTCTCCGTTGGCCCCCCTCCCCCTTTGTAGCCCCCTTCGGCCAAGTTTCGCCTCGTTCTTTTGTACCACGGGACAATTAAGGAGAGATTAATCGGGACGATCTTCTACACGGTGCACCTCGAAGACAGACTTGGGCGAGGGGAGGGCGCTCGTACAAATGCGGCCAAAGATCCGTTTTAGGTGAAACCAGGCGCGTCTGACTATATCGCGGTCGTACTACTTAAATTTGCATCCGACGTAAGTCACACGCGAAAAAATCGCAGGGGCGGCTAATTGAGCCAAGGAGGCGCGGAAAAGAAACGGATTTCCTCCGGGAACGTCGCGACGACGGCTCTTGTCCGCCAAAGAAGAAGAAGAGCACCGGCACGCGGTCCTCCTCCCCGCGGTATTAATTAACGAAGGGACTCGGCCGAGTGGATTAAAAGGATTAAACGTCTCGCGGGTGCGGCTCGCTGTTTCTTTCTTTTTTTTTTTTTTTTTTTTTCCCGCACCCGTAGCCAACTCTCGCCCTTCGCTCTTTGCCACGCTACGTCTTAGTTTCTTTTTTTTTTTTTTTTTTTTTTCCCCTCCTCCATTCGGGTATAAAGCAAATGGACGGGGCTCGCGGTGACTTCAATGCGACCGGGAGCTCGTCGATGCGACGGGTACATCGAAAGGGGCCAAAGTGTACTTCGACTCGTCGCGGGTGGGGGGAGGGGGAAAACAATCGTCGGGTACAAGGACGTCTCGACGCGCGTACAGGCTGCCGGGATTTCGTATTCAGCGCGTCGCGGGGCCAATCAGTCGCGCGCTCGCTTCTTTCGGCGGAGCGGCACCGTGTTGACGTTTGTCATAATATTTTAATATTAAATCGCGTTACGATCCACCCATGCGTTCGCATAATCAGACCTACGCGCTTCGACGCCTCCCACCCCCTTCTCCCCATGTATAGATACACACTCAGTTTGTATTATTTTATTTTTCATCATTTCGTGCTCCACTCGACATGGGCATCGATGAAAAACATTGGTCTTATTGTTTCATACAAAAACACCGATTGCAGCAGTAAGGTGTTACCGTAGTATACGTGGGGGGAAAAAAAAGAGACGACCGCGCGAGGGTGACAGACAAGTGAGCGCGTGGTATTTGCCACCGCCTCCCCCCCTACCCAACGTCAGCTGGAGAAATGCGGAATACAAATTACCCGGTGAAATTTCTCTCCCTCCCTTGCACGCGGCTCCATACTCCACCCCCGTTTTTACCCGCGCAACGTGTATATAATAATGAATTCGCGAGCGCGTAGCTATGGTATATATACATTTCTTTCTTCATCGTCACTCCATGCGGACGACCCACCGCGGGAATATTATTTTTCGAGGGACGATTCTCGAATTGACTTTTTCCCCCCTTCCGCCCTCCTTATTTTTCTTGCCGGATGAACGCGAGGAGCTCACCCATTCCTCCTTCGATCGGGGGGTAGGGGGATTGTTATTCGACGCGCTGTCTCGCATATTGCACTAGTCACCGTTTGTCCACAACTTCTCTGCTATATTTGACGAAAAGCAAACTACACGTGCGAATCAATTCAGGCCTGCGCCCCCATAGACTCGGCTTTGCGGCTGATTAGCTTCGTTTCGAGTGATCATACGCGTGTACGGCGTTGGGCAAACCCGCAGAAATGCCTCGCTGATTTTCTCACTCGGAACCTCGTCATCCGCTGCTCCGTTCCTCGGGTTACTGTTAATTCTTGTGTGTGCACTGCAGATACGGCCAAGAGGCGACAAAGGCTACTGCGTTGCTTTTTTCCCCCAAAGGACAGAGAGAACGGAGGAAGGATTGGATTCGAGGAAGAAAAAAAAAAAAAAAAAACAACGATTGATTTGGGGGTGGCATGGACGTAGCCGCTGTTTGTATTAGACTTTGCCGGAGGAAGGATTCGTTATAAATTTTCGCGCTTTGCGTCCGTGTGCGCGCACTTATTTTTAGTCCGACCGGGATGTAGCGCGGATCGGTATGATTATTTGCCGATCGAGAGGAAAACGCATCCTCGATATGTCGCGTGGGGCTGTTGTACCCTCACGTGCGTACAATGGCGCATGGGAGACAATGCGAGTACAGTCCGAGACCGGGGAAAGGAAAACAACCCAATGGACAATGAAATCGGGAGCCCGGGGACGCGAATATCGTGCTAATTGACGGGGGAAAGAGAGAGTTATCTGTACATGCATGGACAAAAATGGCTTTTTATACGCATATGATGCACCGTTGGTTCGGTGGCCGAGTGGAGGAACGAAGAACAAAAATCGGCATTCAACCGATCGTTTGGGTGGAGACAGAGAGACCAATCGCGCGGGTATTAATGATGCACGCGCGTGAGTAAACAGGGGTATATGGTTAATGTTGCAGGGAGCCGATTTTTTTCCACGAAGGGTCGTTTCAAAGGGCTCATGGTTTTCTCTGCTATCTGAGCTCGTTCTTTTTCATCACCGGAATTGCTTTATTATGACGCGAGATTTTTTACCCTGTATGGGCTGCAAGATTTTAGTTTTATGGCACGGTAATGGCCACCATAGTTGGAAATTGTCACAGCAACAAATAACGGCTAGAAAGATAATTCCGATCTTTGTTTTTTTTTCACTGAGTTGGGCGATCAGGACACCTTGAATCGACACCTCAAAGTGGCAGTTATCATTTTCTTGATTAATTTTGATAATCGTGGTATACTGAATCAACCACACCGTGAAATGGATGCGTGGATAGGCAATGTTAACAAAATTTGGCCTCATTTCGAACCAAAACTCAAAACCAAAAGTGTCCTTCGTCATTTCTTGGACACACCATGCACCGTCACTCATTCTTAAATTCAAAACTTTACCCCTCGCTCAGGAGTTTGGGGCCGCGTTTCCGCATTAGCATCGGAAAAAAACACCATCGTCTCGCGAGAGCTCAAGAAGGAAAAAATTAAAAACTGCGAGAGAAAATTTTGCGAGTGGGGGTGGGAGCATGTATCTGCAGTTTTTACGGGGTGGCATGGGGTGAGGGTAACAAAAAAAAAAAAAAAAAAATTTACTTCGTTAAAAGTGAAGAAGTTGAGAGGAGGGGCCAGTCGATTACAAGTCGTTAATGAAAGCCAAACAACGGGAAGGAAAAAATACGAGGGACCAAGTGCTCGAAGGGGGTGGGTTGGGGGCGAAGAAATTATACGCCCACGTATACACCGTTTTCCATTCTTCTAACCGTCGGGTTAGTTGTTGGGCGTCCGTCCCTTCCGGCTCGAGGTACACGAGGGAGCCTTACTCGGCGTTTTCGCATCTTTTTTTCCACCCCCTCCTCCTCCTCCTCCCCTACTTACAGCTGCATCTGCTTACCTCGACCGCTGCTGTCTTAATCGAGCTTTTTCGCTTTTTTTTTTCCCTCCTCGCACTTTACTTGCGAATTTTTTTTTTTCTCTCTCATCGTTAAGTGCAGAGATTAAGTATACGCTGTTTGCGAAATCTACCGAGTTTTCCGAGGATATTTTTCACAGTGGCAAGTTGGTGGCTTGTTTGGACCGCAAAAAAAAAAAAAAAAATCTCTGCGTTACGATATAAAACAGCGTTTCCAAGGTTCTTCGTTCGTATTGAAGACATTGCTCGGGAGGATAGATTTCCACTACGAATTAATCAGCTGTCGACACGATGAAAAACATATGCCTCGATAAAAATTCACCACTTTGCTCCAACATTCCTCGACCACGCGCTCACTCTGCCTCCCCAAAAAACCGTTCCAAGGCGTTTTACCCTTGCGCTTGTTTATAATTCA